AATAACTGTGTTTTCTCATTTAAATTAATTTATTCAAATCAGGATGAAGGTTATTGACCCAGGAGAGAAGATGTACGTCACACCGATGTAATTAAAATTGTTGGGCATTAATCTTTCTTGCGAAAAGACATAAAGGAAAGGATTGTCAACGGAACAGGAGATTATCGTTGGATAGGTAAACGTACTTGTGCACTTATTATCACGAGACCATTGCCAAAAGCCATATTACAGCGCCCTATTTGGAAATAAATTTCAAAATATTTAAATAATGATTTAACTGAAATTTGTTTACCAGAATTTCTCGGTGAGTTAAATATTTTAGCCTTTTGGGTTCCATTTTCAGTTACATGATTTTCAAACAATAAGCAGCCAACGAGCAATCAAGTCATATGAAAGCAACGCCACATAACAGTTAGGATACATTCTCGGATATTATTATTTTTTTTCGTGTTAAGGGTATGACAGCCATTGCTGCTTAATAAGTTTGAGATAAAAATCAATTGTTGAATTGTGCGGAAAACCAACCACTCGTTTTTTTTGTTCGTCAGTTTTTGGTGTGACACAGAGCAATGAACCGATCAACTACAAAAATCATATTCATATATGTGTGTAGAACATTCAACGTATAAGGGAATGAGACTTGGTTTATACACAGTCAACGAGAAATTTCTCGATAAAAAGTCCGTGTTCATTTATTGGTCGGGGAATATTGATATGATTTTATGTCTAGATGCTTCCAACTGAAGGAGTTAAGTCATAGCTGGGCAGACTGAAAAATTCAGGGGGGGATTGGGGGGTTAATTTTCTCAAAAACTCCTAGCAAAATAGGAAAATTTCATCTATGATCCAAAAACCCTAGCAAAATGAGAAAAATTCTATCCAAAATCGTGAATTTTGTAAAGGGGTAACGCAAAAATTTGTTGATTTTGTAAAGGGGTAACGCTAAAATTTGATGCCTCAGGAGGGGGTTATACCCCCCTCCCCCCCCTGTCTCCCCAGCTATGAGTTAAGTGTAAAAATATACAAAATATTTTGCGCATTTGAAAAATACGACAAAACATCGAGATGTAGTGAAGCAGATGGGGATACACAGAATAGAATTTCCGTACCTAAATCCAGTTCGAGTAAGTGGGAAAAGGTCGAGTGGCATATTGGAAAAAAAAATTACGCACATCGCACACACTCGAACATCTTTTGTGTGCAAAACGTCTCCCGCTTTTTTTTCTTACGGTTCCAACACTTACTCGCCCGTATCATGGGTTTCGTTTCAATTCGCACTTCATTTATAGCACCTTGAAGGGGTTCCTTATCTACGACAAAAAAAATCAATTCACTTTCTCTGTATCTCATTGAGACGAACGAAGCATACACAACGAAATTCAAAAATGAATATGAAGGTGAATAAAGTTCCATGGATTGGAAAATTAGAAGCAAATCTAATTTACTTGCAGCTTTTCTTAAAATAAACCAACCAGATTATAAAACGGATATCGTGTTCCATTGCGTTCATTGATTAACATTGAAAGTTGATGACATTCATTGCTATGAACTTGACGGAAACTCAAAGCACTGGGAATTAAAAACTTAAGCACAGCAAAGAGAAGCGAGAAGCTTTAGAACAACAATCAGACAATTACATTGGTTGAGTATTTTTCTTGTAAAATAAACGAGAATTACGAATTTTGTTTTTGTAAAAAGTGTTCAATGTTCAACTTGAAAATGATAAAACAAAATCAAACGTATATTCTTATTGAAATACACTGAATTCTTTGTTCGAATGTTATTGTAAAAACTCGCCATTTTATTGAATGATATAGAAAACGATTTTTAGTTGAACAAAGAGAACAAAAATTATGCTAAACTGTTCTCGTTTATATACCGATTTAAATGCCGAGTCTTTCCCAATTGTTTTGAAAGAAAGCAGGTAGGGCCCAATGTAAATTTCTTTAATCGGATCAACAACTATGCCAACATTTCACAAATGGTTACACAAAATGCGACACATTTCAAAACGCACGTTTTCACAGGTTTTAAAATGTGGCATGTAAAAATCAATCTTCGACATTATCAATGGGGTCCATAAGGTTCAGAGTAATTTGTTGATTTTTACTTTTTTAAATCCACAGATGACGAGCCGAACATGCAAAACAATCAGTGATGGTTTTTTCCTTTCTGAATAGCGCTAGCTATTCGCAGCTTCTGTACAGCATTGCTGCTCAGATGCTGAATCGAAGCGGTTGCCGCACGCGTTTTGTACCACACAACATATTGTCATATAGTCTAAGTAACCAGTGAGCTCACAGAGTATGATACACTAATATACCATAGTCAGTATACAAACGCATGTCGAACAGAGAACGAACGCGAACGTATATGCTCTGTGTGGTACAAACGAAGTGTGTTGCGCGTGCGGCAACCGCTACGATTCAGCATCTGGGCAGCAATGCTGTACAGGCGCTGCGAATAGCTAGCGCTATTCAGATAGAAAAAAACCATCACTGAAAACAATCGAACAAATTACGGAATTATTGTACAAGTTTTCAATGTTGAAGTGGAGTATAGATTTTTTTCTCTGTGAAATGAATAGAGAGAGGTCTTGTACATGCTAAAAGACAAGGAAATGGTCATTAACATATGGTAACCGTTCATCAATTTTCTTTGTCCTAAAATGGTCTTTCATAGTATAATCGAACAGTTCAAGTGCATAAAATTCTTGTGATAATAATTACGTACAATGTGTACCAAAGTCAAAACCGTATATGTGTCCGTAAGAATAAATATGGCAATACACAAATGGAATCTAAAGAACGTTACATAATTTTTTTTGTATGGAGTTGTACTTTGTAAAAAAGAAATTATGTAACGTTCTTCAGATTCCGTTTTTGTAATGCCATATTTATTCTTACGGACACATATAGGTTAACAAGCTATTGAATGTGGGCGAAAATTGACTGAAAACTTCTCCATTGCGCGAATGAAGTGGCTTGTATGAATGGAAAGTCGCTTAAAATCTGAAAATAAAAGTGAATTTCTATCGATTTAATAGGACACAATAAGAGTTTGGCGAGTCGATAATGCTGATGGTGAAAAATATCGACCGAAAACTAATGAATGCCATTGCAAAATCCCGAATGGTGTGATAAAATCTGTTTAAATTTAGCACCAACTCGATTCTATTTATAATGTGATTCGAGTGTGGGTGGCGTTTTTCTGAAAATATTATTGGTACATATTTGCATCATTGAAATCAATCCGATTCAATCAGCAATCGATTACAAGCAAAATGATTTAATACCGCACCAAGCATTCAATATCCCTCATACTATGTCGATTTGCTTTGATAAAAATTGGCTCGCACGTACACATTATAATACATTGGCTAGTTGTGTACATTCAATCCAAGACACGCTTATTGTAATTTTGTTTCCTTGTTTTGCCCAAGTCGTTATTTGTTGTTGAACGAGCATTTCAACATTTTGCGATACGTTCATTGATATTTATTGCCAACAAATTTACACTATTCATACCCATAATGAAAATGTACGTCAGCTTATTTTCCATATCGACTAAAAACCGATCCCTTTTCATTGTTCATTAATACAAAATCACCAACAGCTCAATAATTACGAATCAAATAGAGTCACGTGAAAAACGAATTGAGCACTTGTTGTATCAGTATTTACATGCTTCGCATTGTATCTATGGTATTTAGTATGCTTGATTGCTTTCAATCACGACAGGCTTACATATTTCCTTGCCATTGTTTTGTCATTTCCCAAACAAATTACTTTCTTTTATTATTTCACGTGCGAATAATCAAAATCTGTAGAACTTGCTCAATTAAATTGCCACTCAAGGAATTTTATTATGATTTTCAGAATGAATTCCTTTTACGTGTTCCTCGAAATAAATGATTTTTCCTTTGAACTTTCAATTTGAATGGTGTTCATTTTCGGGAATTGCCCAACGATTCGTGTTTTAACGCTCAAAGTGTTTTATATGAATGCCGAAATGTTCCATATGAACATATGGAGCAGCAGGGTTTAAAAATAACACCAAATCCGTTAATGAAATAAAATCACCGAAAAATATTGTAACTGTAAAACTCGATACAAAAGGTGCGAGCGTCAATTTGAAACACAATTTTCCATGTCAATGAGAAGAATTTTCAAACCAATTTTCTCTAAGCACGAGGAAAATCATTAAAGTGATTACATCCCTTACTCCAACAAAATATTTCGATATCTTTTTCATTTTACCATTTTTGTGAATTTGTGTTAAACGAGCTTTTTTAAGGTTCAATTTGGTAAATTCTGGAACTTTGAAAACTACCCAATTTTTTTATACACGAACGCAAACGGTTCATTAAATCAGCATCTTTGGCAACGTAGTAGAAAAAGTATAAAAACGAGCCATATTAAAATGAAATTACATTCAATATTAACATAGCGAAGGAGAAAAAAAGTAATTTTACTTACCAGAGAAGACCTAGGTATATAACTTTGACGTAGGATTAATAATACAGAAAAGTTGAAGGCGTCTCACCGTAAAACTTCTACCTTTGTATTATTTTCTATTTGTTGACAATTCACGGAATTGAATCTAGTCGATGAAAATCACATCAAATTTATGGTATGTTTTCACGATGAACAAAACGCGTTCCCATATTACCAGCACTTCGATTTCGATTTTTTTTTTAAATTGAATTGTTATCAATTTTTTGAGAAATATTGTACTTTTCCACCCACTTATGTATGTTGACACAATCCAAATGCAAATTAATTGCAATGAATTCAATTTCAATGTGTGTCAGTGTGGCTTGTTTACTCTGTAGTTAGCTGCCAATTTTGTGCACATCAAATAAAATGTTGTCGAAAATACACAATTTAATGTTTATATATTGTTATTGTTTCTTGGCTTTGGTGGAATTCATGTGCGTCGGAATGTTCTTGGCATGTATTATACTTCACATCTGTTTCTATATATATTTCGATTTTTTTTGCTATTGTTGTTGTTTTTCGCCTTGCAATGAGAAATGTGGCAGACTTAATTTTTCCGCTTCATTTGGTACAATATCAAATGGAAATGATCGCTTTCCATGCATTTTTCCGATTAACTCTTGCAGAGTGAAAATGGAATTCGTATGTAATTGAAATTTTTGTGACAACAAAAACAACAACAATAGTCGCAATAGAAAAATAAAATAAATTCATACAAGCTCGTCCTCATGCATCCATGTGCATTGAATGAGTTGACAAAATGGGTATGTTTTTTTTTCTCTTTTCTACTTTCATTCATTGAGAATGCAATAAGCTCTTGGCTGAAGCATGTAAATAGTTGTAACACAATCAAATGACTTTCCCAAGCTTCTTTTTTCACTGAAATGTAAATCAGTATTTATATAAAATTGAATAAGTTTCAAAGTGGTCAAATCTGCTGTAAAAATGAATTTCATTTGACGGGAGTAAAGGAATGTAGAATGTGGAAAAAATTGAGACTGAAAAGCGGGAGTGAGAGTGTAAAAAAATGAACGCCTTTTTAAATCGCCTTTAAGCGCTTGACTAACAATGAAAATTGAAATACATAATTTTGTTATTACTACTGGCGTTGCTATTGCAGCGTCGCCTTTACAATGTCTGCTGTATATTTAAGTTTGATGTTCGGGGAAAACATTTTTTTTCGCACAATATTTATTTTCACTGGCATTCAAGCGTACACATTCGCTGTCGCTTTCTCTCTATAACACACACATGCTGGTTGAATTTTGAAAAAGAGAAAAGAATAAAAAAAAAAAACACACACACACATCAAATCAGGATAAACTTGTAGAGTCGCTTGGTTCAATTTTTTTTCTCATTTGTTTTTCTCAATCGTGTTTTCTCGCAGTCGGTCTTTTTACGTTCTGCTGCAAGCATTTAATTTCTTTAGTGAATTAAATTTCGCCGCACGTGCTGTGTGCAATAGTTCGTTTCACTGTTTCGTTATGTGCTCGGTTTCTTTCACAAATATTGTAGTCTTTATTTTTTTCTCTTCTCTTCTCACTCTTTCGCATTGCTGCACTATCATTTTACAATTGTTCATTTTCCATTGGCCGTGATTTATTCACGCCATGCACCTCTATCATTATTGGAGTGCATACGTTCATTTTTCATTTGTTTTTCTTGTCGGTTTCGGTGCTATTGACGGTTTCAGTGCGTTATTAGGTATTAATTTATGCATGAGTCGAGAATATTCACTTTGGAAAACGGTACGCAGAGAAGAGATATATTGGCAAGAAATTGAATTATTGTCTTTGGTTTTTTTAAATTCTAATGTGCGTCTTTTGTCGCGCGTGTATCAACTCATTCGAACCAATAAAATATATCTCTTACACGCACATCGTATTTTCATTCGCTGACTAATATCGTAGCTATTTTAGATCTCGTAAACACATTTTACTTTATTTACAATTCAAACGATGTTGGAAAAAAATTTATTATACTTGCAAAATATTCGACTTCGTTTTATTTTACTTGATAAAAGAAATATTGCACATTCGTTATCACACTTTGCTCTGTGGACTCTCTTATCACTTACGATATTTTTGAAGAAACGATTTAATTTGGTTGTAGTTTGTCAGTCAACAATGTTGTCAGCTGTACGATGTGAACATATCAGCCCGTCCAGTTCAACTAAAAGTGTTCGAGCGATTGGCAAATGTTTTATATTTTCTTGTTCGTTGTCGTTCATAAAGAAAGCAATGTATGCTACACTCGACCCGTTTGCTTCAGACTGTTCAATGTGTACTATATTCTCCATGCATGCTTGTGCGTTTGTTTATCCTTGTATCGCTTGTACAAAGGAGAAACCGGCAACAAACTCAAACAGAGCAAGTGTGTGGAACTGAATGAGCACATTTAAGTTCTTATCAATTTCATTCCAATAGAGCAGAAGCCGGCTATGGAGTGAACATTGAACCTACATTAAGCCAACAGATGTTGTACGTAATAGTAGAGAACATTTTCCCCTCCATTTATTGTCATAGCAACACGGAGAAATTGAGCTACACTGAGCACCGACGCACACGGGGGAAATTGCTTCGTGTAATGCAATTACGAAACCTCAAGAAATGAATTAAATGAAAAACTTGCATTTTGTACCAATCGAATTTATTTAATTTAATTAACTATTGATCTGTATGCAAACGGATTAATTTTATTAGCTCAAAATGCCAAAAAAATATACACGGCAAATTGCACTTAATGCAATCTTCGTTTGCATTAAATTAATACTTTTGTTTCATGCACACTGCTCAGCATTTTATTTATCCTCAGTTGCATCTATTTTGAATGAAATAAGTGGCATAATCTAAATAAATTAGATGTTGAATTCCGAGAAGTGCATAAATGAAGTGGCATTTCAGAAGGGTATTTAGTGGTAAAATTTCTCTCTCTATCTCTGTCCCCCAGTTCTTGACAGAATTTCTCATCTACTTTGGAAATCTTGTGGTTCATTTCGAGGTTTGCACTAATTATGTATGAATGATTCATGTTTATTGACGCTTTTACGGCACTGAATGGCATCGAACACAGGAAGCATGTAATCCCATCATTTAACAGCACATAAAATAGAGATTCCTAGGGGGTTCCGACTTAAACGAATGATCCATATGCGAGCGAATTTTTCCTATATATTTTGCAAATGTAAACGAATGGTCGCAAATGTTTCTTACAAATTTTGCGAATGGTGGCGGATGTTTCATACAAATTTGCGGACGGTGTCGAATGTTTCATACACATTTTGCGGATGGCGCATATGAAAAGTCATATTTTTACATTCAAAAAGTCAAAGTGACAGATTAGGTGACAGAGATTCAAGCCGAATTGATATTTTTTTTGGTAATATTGAGTGAAATTTTTCTAAAATGGTAAATAAATCTTTGCCACTCGTAATATTATCACTGTAAACGGTGCCTTGTGAAAGGTTTTTATTTTCATTGACGTAACTTTCAATTTCTTTTATATTATCTGAATTTATTTCTAAAATCTCACTTTTCGAATCGAATACGGCTTCTAAAATAATATTCAACAAATAATCTTGTATTTTTTTCTTCAACTGTTTTTTCAAATTTAGTTGAGAACAATGACATTGTGTTTGAAACTTCCACGACAAACTGAACACAGCAATGTGTATGTACAAATGTCACACGACAGTTTGTCGCATCTAGCAAGACGTATGCGGCATTCGCGAATGGTTGCGAATGAAATGTACGAATTTTCATAGATGTTGATGCGGATGAATATACTTTACTTCGTATATTTCATGTATGAATAGGAAAATGTTCATATATTCCGTATAAAATGGCATTCGCATATAGTAAAATGCCCCTTGAGAGATTCATACACGAATTTACGATTTAATTGAGATGCAAATTGTGTGTATACATTAAAATGTCCGATGGAAATTTATGTATGTGAAACAGCTTCCAAAATCGAATAGGCGGAAACAATAATATGACCCATTTGATTCAATTCCAATCGAAATATAACGAATTCAGAGTGCTTGTGATAATTCGCGCTGAGATATGAAAAGATAAATAAACACATGTGTGAAGGGTGGTATAAAATTAGCAAATATACTATTTTTTGTCATTAAATCCATTTTTGATAGGTTCACCAAATACTTTATTAATACAGACACATGAAAATGTTGTCTACAATCAACTCTGCCAATTCGAATAATAAATAAATAAATACTCAATTCAAGAGTTGAGTGATTTTCTTGTTGTTGATGCTTCAGAAACTCAATTTTGAATTCATTGGATGGATACATATGGGTCGAAAATTTAATCTTGTAAACTAATCTGATTTTGTAGTCACTGTATGCATTGTTTATTCTCAATACAAAAGAACCAATTTCAATCCAGTTTGCCTACATTCGGGCGTTTGTTTTATTTCTGTGTCTAAATACATTTTGTACGCTTCAATCGTCGGCTTTCTTCGAATGGACTTTGTCGTCAAAGAATGCTTGTATTTTGACCCATAAACAATTTAATGGACAAAATTCATTCTCCTCTCGACAAAATATATCACTTTCTCGTCTATCTTTAGAGCGGACGATAAATCTTGACACATTATTTCATGTACAGAGCACACCTGTGAGTGCATAATTGTGGTATTGCCATGCATCGTTATTCAAAACTAGCGTCAAACTTGAATTAACACACTGCTTTAGTGTTGTTTATGGCATAAGCTATAAGCTCATCTTTGCTGCCCAACAGTGAAATGACTCATTTGGTAGCTACTTACGGCACTCATAAATTTCGACACTGAATAAACAAATTACGAATTATACCACATTTTCGGAATTTCTCGCATATTTGCCATGCTTATTATCTATCGACTGGCGATAATTCAAAATTTAATGGTAATAAACGCAGTGCATCTATGCATGCATCAATTATTTATCGTAGTAATGAACTAGAAAACTCATACTTTACGTAAACAATAAACTCTCAAAATAAAGCACACACTCACCCGAATATTGTTGCACACAAAACGGTGTGTCATTAAGTTCAGTTTATGGCCTCTTAGTCTACGCTTGAAATTCTACGATTGCCATGAAGAATATTTTAAGCGTGCATATTACATGAATTTTCACCGAAATACCGATAAATTAAATCCCGAATCTCACCAGGTCTAATTTGGTTGTCGACAGGTTTATCAAAATTCAAAGAGAATTTATAATTGTTGCATCTTGAGAATTGCCACAAAACCGCAATTCAACTGCGAAATGCATAGAAAATGTGCATGCATAAGTATTGTACACACGCTTGCACTCATACACACTCCATATGAATTGCCAAATTTTGGCATTTCTGTAGCATGATAAGTAACATTATGTTCGAAAACCAATGTGCATTGCGTTGTCGTCATCAAATGAATCATCGGTGCACGTGATAATATAAAATACATTTAAAACAAGATTTGACACTCATACACATTCTCTTTCTTCGCTGTTCGTTAAATTTTTTGCAGTTTTCAGATACTTCGAATATTTTGCATACAATCTTAATCACGTGCACGACAACAACAAAACCTAATTACTTTCACTTGGAAATGAACGTGTCTCTTGGGTTTATTCTTTTACGTAAATTTTGATCCATTAAATTAAACTATAACTTTGTCCAAACGCGCTCCCGAGATACGAATAAAATTTAGAATGGCTTAAGATTGACATGTCGTGAAAAAAACGACAAAAAACGCCGTCACGTCACTTTAAAATACCAATTTACATTCATATTCGTACTGATATACACTACAATTCAAGTGTTTAGTCGAATGCAAAAAAACGAGAGAGAGAGAGAGAGAGAGAGAGAGAGAGAGAGAATGAAAAAACACTTGAAATAAATTTCCGCTACTTAAAAGTCAAATAAGTTAAAATTGAATCGAATTTATACGATTTATGGACTGTGCGAATTCACTCACATGTGTTCAACTGCTGGTAGTTCGTATCACACTCCATAAGAATTTATTTAATGAAATCAAACGAAACAGCAGGAGACGTCAATTTAAACCAAAATGCGAGGATATTTCATTCGTTCTTTCAACAACACTGCTTGTCCCACTGAAATAATAACAAATGTTGTATATATTTTTTCTTCTTCAGAACAATCAATTTGTCGCTTTTTCATATAACTCAATTGAATATGCAGCTGGCGTTTTTCGGTCGCGAATGTTACAGAAAAATGAAAATTTGTTAAATTAAAACACAAAAATTAACAAATATCAGTACACTATTATTTAGTATTTTTCCAACGAATGAAATGAAAATAAATGCGACAACTGTACGAATTGAGGTGCACCGGAAAAAATATAATTTAACTGTGTCTATGGCGTGGCGAGCACAAGGAAATTGTACGTTTCAAGTAAAGAAGATGGAAGAAGATAGAGACATAACAAATCGACACATAAGCGAATGTCAATAACAAAAACATCGAATCATTTATGGTGAATTGTTGTTGATTCATTCTGAGGTATTTCATTGATTCATCCGATTCAGTCGTTCAGTCACATTTAATGCAGTCGATAGTGAATTGGATTCAGGTGTGTGCGTATTTTCCTATTTATTTTTCAATCGATTTGTTCTAACACTTCGCTATCAGTAAGAGTATATTATCGATAAGAATAAATCAGTGTGATAACGAAAGAATAAGACTGTGGTGCTAAGTCGTTGTCGAGAAAGACAAACAAAGAAGAATTGCGAAACGAATCGAGCACATATTTTGAACATCATGCAAAAGATTCGCATAACGATTTAAATTCATTCGTAATTGTCGGTGGGATAACAAATCTGTATACGAATATAAAAAAAATATATAATTTATGTTCCTGAGACAAGTGCGCGGCGCGCTCTCTCTCTATACCCGACTCTATTTCTACTGCACGTAACGTCTGTATACTTAGCAATTCGGTGACGAAGAGATTTCAGTTTAATTGAATTTATGGTCGTTGGTTTTTCTGGTGTGTTTCGCTCTCTACTTCGCTTTCGGCCCCACAAGAGATGTGCTGTACTGCTGCTGGTGCTGTTGTGGTTGTTGTTATTGCCGTCGCCTTTTTTTCTTCACTCACATTCAGTTCGCTTTTAGTTATTTCATTTCACTCATATGTCACACTACAATTGAAAGAGTGCTGTGATTCCGGTGTGTTATTTTCAGTGTGATACATGTACTGCTGTTTGCGCGGCTAAAAATGTTGTGGCGTGTATCAGTTGATCGATGTCTAGGGAGCGGTGCTACTAACTAACAGAACCGATTCGAATGAAACAAATTCAAAAAATTTTTCGTGTTCAATCGATTTGGATGTTGGCGTAGTTGCTGCAGTTACTTTTCCGATTAACTCAGTGACGGTCACGCACGTATTTCAATATCCATCCGTTATGGAATTATTCAGTGTCAAATTTTTCACACTTTGTTTATTTTATTTTGTATTAATGAGACTTTTGCCAAAAATTATCGAAAATATTTCATGGCTATTTGAGTGATTGCTTTTAAATGTGACATTTTTAAGTGTTTATTTAGAAAATAAACTCCAAATAAATAACAAGAAAGTTTATTTCGTACGATTGATGAAGTGGAAGTGAACGCAACAGCAATGAATAATGATTTATTTGCAAATTGCTTCATGTGCGGTGCATTTAATTTTAAGTAAATTGAATATTGCGTACGAGTGAAATAAAAAGCATACAAATGCAAAAGTGATCATTTATAATTCTCATCACAAATGTATTTCAATTGCATATCTATATAGACTGTTTGAAAATTGCTTGTGTGGCAAACTAATTCCAGCAAAGTGTATTTTAGTGTGTTATGACTGCGCGCGTGCTTGATTGTTATAAATACTTCATATGTTACAGATAAAATCATCATAAAATTTTTATTCCGCCTCATTGGTTAATTGATTTTAAAACTCAGCAGAAAAACAGAGAAAAAGAGACTCAAGAAAGTGTTCAACTCAACTAAGCATATAACCGAACAGGAAAAGTAAATAACAGAGAAAAGTGACGACAACATTTTGCGATAACAAGCAATGCAAATATCGAAAAATCAACAGATCACAATAATTTGCTGATCGTAACGAAAATAAACGTTTTTTTAAACATATGAATTCATATATGCTTGAGTCAGCCCATCACAGTAATATTGTCTCAAACGAAACAACTGGTTCCATTGAAACGATTGAATGATTCATGCGGTTTTTTTATTTCCACAAACATTTTACCATAATTCTCAAGACTGTGTAAACATTTCCAACCGAAAAAGAGGTAAGCGATTGTTTGAGTTTGTCATTTAGATATTTCCGCAATGTGCGAGTAAAGAAGAGAAAATATATTTCATTTGGTTATCAACATCCAACCGTTTTGAGTCAACATATTTAGCACAAAGTTTATTGTTTGAGCACAGTACTTTGGATGTTAAAAACTCTGTCGCCTGTAGATGCGAGAACGAACATACTTGTTTGGACGTGCGGTTAAATTATTTTCAATTGCCTCACCTTGACAACTTGCTTCTAAGATTGTATTAAAATTGTACTTAATGTTTCGAGTCAACGTTATTTGTTGGAATAAAGACTACGCAAACTTGTTCATAATTAACAGATACCACTTCCACATTAGATATTCATACGATAGTAAGCCTCATGAGTCAATCCACTGGTTTATCCGACTAGATTAAAATAATATAAAAATGCTATTAATAGTAATGCCGCTTAAGCTCAAGCTTGGAATATTTTGTGACATCACATTACTCATATTACACTGACGTTTCCCCGTTTTTTTCACACCTTAAATCATGACATACATAATTTAACGATTTTAGCTGACTGGCCAAACCAAATCAAATCAGATGACTAATTTGATTTGAATGCATCATATCAAATCATGATTTTCAAATCATGAGTCAAATCAATTGATCTCAAATCTTTTGATAACCCGGATTGAATCAGTGTAGTCGATCAAAGAGATTTTTATACAAAAGCATAATATTTTATTGTATTGAAATGGATTTAAATCATTTATTATGTGATTTCATTGCATTCAAACCATTTTTGGTTAACATTAAATCATTTATTTTAAATTTAATGCGTTGTTCTGTAAGCGATCAAATAATTCGATTAAAGGTCTTCAATAAATGTACCAACGTTTTATTTACTGTCGTTGACATACAAAAACCATTTAATTTTCCACGATTTTTTTTAAATGAAACAAATATCAATGGGATGAAAATTTTGAAATTCCTACGTGCATCATTAAAATTGATTAGTGGTAACGAATTGTGGGCGAAGCCCTATTGAATTCATGGAGGTAGCAGCAATTCAAATTTATACTCTGCACGAAAAGTGGCTGTGAACACTGAACATTTTCATCTTAAATGCAGTGAAATAAATCGAGACAAATTCAATTAAAATATAACACAAGTGACAATAATTGACATTAACATATGCACAGAGAAACCGAAAATCAATGCTTCTCTCTGTCTTTTGTATACCGTTTGGTCGCATGCATTTACAAAGTCCATGCCGAATATATTTCAATCACTTAGCAATTTTCTTCTATTAAATCAATAAAATTCATAAGCGTTGGCCGTAATTGTGAGCATTGATGAATGTGATCGCCCCACATTCAGCCAAAGAACAGGCCCCGTCGAACAAACAACAAAAATGCTGAAACAAATAAATGTCAATAGGAAATGTAAATAAGCATAGATTTTCTATGTGGATTTATGCTAGGATTTATGACTCATAAATGTTCTTTTTTTGTCTCGGATATTTCCCGTTGAGACCTTCCCCTTCTTAAATCTTATACTGGATGCCCGAGACCAATATGATGTCCAATTTCACAAATGAATCAAACAAGTTACTTTCATCTATTTGTCATATTTCCGCTTCGAGTTGTATTTAATGGGTGTGCGTTTTTTCGTACCAAAAACCATTGTAGGCCATGTTCAACTCCCGGTTTTCAACAGTCTTACAACGTTTCTAACAGCAACAAATTCTTTCATCAGCGTTGAAAACGAGCCAATAAAAATGAGATATATGCGTTACGTACAACAAACAATGCTGACCATCACTAGCACAAATACAAATACAAACGGCTATTTATTAGTGAAGCACATACACATTCATTTGGCTCAATTAAATGTTTGAACTGTGTTGATGACTGGTGAAGATCACTTTTGTGACCCTTTAATTAATATTAATTTAGAGCAAACTCAAATACTCAACGAGTTACACACTCAAAACTGTCGCATATTTGATGTTTCAACTTCTGATGAACTTGTTACAATTTCAAAGAGGCAATTTCTATTTTATTCATTTTCAATGAAACGTCTTTATTTTTATTTAAAAAAAAGCTAAAATACTTATTATTAGTAGTCATTGCTGTCCGGTTTCTTCGTTGCAAGATATGCCAATGCTCGTTGAATTGATTTTGGGATTGGAGGACTTGTTGGGAGATGATATCCCTACGAAAAAAAAACAAGCAATTGATATATTGAAATCTTATTTACGAAAACAATTTAATCAAATCAAAATACCATTGGACGATAGCCATTCTCATCGGCAACAAAACTGATTGCTAAGGGCTATTTTTAGAAATAAATTAATCAATTTTAGTTTTTGAATTAAATAATATAATCAATTACCTCGCCATTCTTCGCTATCCATGTGGTGCTGCCTTGAACAATTTGACCGGCTACACCACCTTCATTCGATACAATTCCATTGCTTGACTCGAATTGATATTGGTAATTTCCATCGTTATCTGAGGTTTGAGTTTTTGACTTAATAACAGCAATTTTATCGGGCTTGTGAGCGCTTAAATCTGGCTTATGTTTTACTTCTGTTTCTTCATGGTCTTCTACTATTTCCTCTGGTTTTTCCTCCTCTATTTGAATTTCGGATTCACTTTCTGGTTCTTTTGCTGAACGAGAAACACCGGCTGCCGCCACAGCCACCAATAATGCCACAATGAAAATCTACAGAAAATATATTCACTTAAAATCAGACCTTTCTTCAAAGTAATTTTCATTCAACTCACAATTTTGACGTTCATTTTTACAAACTTTTGTCGCACTAACGCGAAATCCTTCACATTCGACGAACGAATAACAAATGGCTAAGATCACAAAGAAGTCATGCTACTTATATAGCCGAAAAACTGGAATTGATTTTGTTTTTTAAAAAAATCGAAAGTGATCACACGTTTCTAGAAGAAAAAATCTGAATTTTATATCTTATAAATGTTAATCATGTGTGAATTTCTGTTAGATTAGTTGCTAAAAGAATACTACTATCGCAATAAAATTATAAATTTTTGTCAAAGGTCAGAAGAACCACGTTTGCTGATCAATGTTACTTTGAACGAAATGCGTTGATGCGCGTTGAAATCATCTTAGTATTTAATATGAAATTGGCGGCGAGGCAAGAATTAAACCGGTTGTGCTAATAAACCAAATTGATTAGAACCACATAAATCACATATAAAAAGTCTCCAATTTTATTTCCTTGATCTCAATTTACAAACGGTGTTCAGAGATTTTTACTTTTATCTTCTAAATAGTCTGATATTATTTCGAAGAATAATTCAATACATAGTTGATGGTAATAAAATTGATTGTTCAAAATTTGAGTAACACATCCGTGCTACATGAATCTTCAACTTTAAAAAATACCATATTCAAAAGTAGTAAATGCCAGAAATATAATTTGAATTTTTCTCTGAAATTTGGTATAGAATCGCGTTCAGTAAAAAGACTTCATATTTTCCTTTAATCGCATTTTCAGACAAAAAAAAAACTCTTCGCGAGTTAAATTTTAATTTGTTTTAATTATTATTACTGAACTAAGCAGAATTAAACGCGCACATAGCGCGCAAGGAAAATTATATATAGCCTGCTTGAGATATTAGTAACTAAGCTAATTTGTACTCATGTACAAATACCAAAACGAGCCGAACCAATATGCTTGTATGCATACATACACATGAAATGGGTCGGTTGTATGTCGAATGTTCATTAACAATTTGGATGATATCGTATTGTTTGTTATTCCTTTCATTGATGCAATTCATGAGTTATACAAAAAACGTTTGTTCTTTTATCGTTTAGTTAATCGTTATGCTTAGGAGACAGACGACGTAGAATAATCTATGCGCTGCACGTGCAACATAAGCTACATACCAAAGAACATTTATTAAGTCATATAAAAACCGTTGGTGTTTTACTTTTGTTTTTTTTTATTGTTTTTTCTATGTGACAAAACTTTTCAAAAAATCGTGTCATTTTTATGGTATTTTTCGACAACTAACTATTAAATTCTTCGACCGGTTGAATGGCATTCACCTCTAAATAACAATAAACTATTCGAGTAGGTTGCTGAACGTGATTTGTGTTACTTGTTTTGATTGGGGAAAAATATACAGATTTTTTTTTTAAACATGGTATATAAGTGCAGTGTTTGATATCAGAATAAATATTTTGCATTGAAAAAATCCATTTATTTGTCAATACATTGTTGATTTTTTGAGGCCTAATCTGACCGATCCGACTATTGAAATTGATTGCGATCCACTTGAATGGAAATGCAAACAGATCGGAAGCGATAGTGATAACAGAGAATCGAATGTGTTGACTTCGGTCGGTGCTTAACAAATAGAAAAAGAGAGAAATAGAGTGAACACGAACGAAAAGTCAAATATTGAACAATGCGCGATTACTGGTACCCATTTCGACATAACAAAAGGTAAATATACGTGTTTTGCGATACTGAGGAAGCAAAGTACGCTACCGTACAGGGCATACAAACATACAATACAAAAAAAGCAACGTACATATCTATAGTGTTTATATTTGCCAAGTAGTAAACCTGAGCATAAAACCAATTTGTAGGCAGAAAAAAAACAACAGAAAAACACATTTTTGTGGTTGTTTATCTTTTTCGGTATTGTCGAACATCATAAGAATAAAATAAACAACAAAAATCGGATGTATCATCACTACTGACATTTCGATTGTGAACGATGCCAAAATACGTGTGCTTGTTATGAAAAGTTTATGGGATTTGTTTAAATAAAAATGTCCGGATATGAGAAGAAAAACTACCATTCCGAGAAAATTCCACTGTTCTAATTCATAAAATCTTCGATCGCATTAGATGCAGTAGTTATGAGGAATCACATTTGGTGATTACAAAATGAAATAAAATCAAGCATACCGCTTCATTTTGTGTTCACATATGCACGTTTGGTCACGCTACTGTTGTTTCAATTAGAATGTAGTGAGTCAGAGTTATCTGTTAGCTTCAATAAAATACATTGGGAGAAACCACATACCATTCCAAATGCAATACACTTGAATAATTCTCTCAATTGCAACATCAACTACAACATAGCAAGAGAATAAGAAGAGCGCATACAAAACGATTCCATTTTATTGATATAACTCGATTCGAATGGCAATTACTGTTATTGTTATAATACATATTTGGAATATGCTCATTTATTTCCACAATCTTTATTGCTGCTCACATTACTACCCAAAATAGCGTGTAAATGCTAAGTTTCGTTTTCGATACGTTCACTGACCAATTCAAAAAATTAGAGACAACGTCGTTTATTCTTTTATTTTTGTTCAGTGATGCAGCTAGCATGGGAGGAAAACGTCAATTGTGCATGAAATCATATCGATGATATTCAATATATCCAATTTTGTCATTGACTTTTGAGCAGTTTTTTTTATGTTTGTTCGTTCATCCGTCGTATACGTTTATGTTTTCTACAATCGTTTATTCTGTTCGTTCTCGAGCTAATTGAGAGGCAAATGTGTAGGTGCGGCGCACATTTGGTAAACAACCAGCAGCCTTCATTACAATAATTTCTATAATTTGTTTTTATTTTTAAAATAATATTGCCAGACAATACAAGTGTTTTAAGGACACCATTCTAACAATTTGATTCATTGTCTGTTTTTTCTTTTTCTTTTTTCTGCATAGATACGATCCGACTTGGATTACAGCCAAAATGGACCGATATGGATTAAATGACGCACATCTTTACACTTCGGCAAAACTACACGCATATGCCAATGAACCAGGCGAATTAAGCAGGTGAAAAAAAAAACAACGGACTAATTTAATCGATTGGAACTTTTTATTTGGTGTTCTCAATGCCTTCACTTTTGAAATATCTGTCAGACTTTTAACTGAATTAGTAAGAATGACTAAAGACATCTATTGTCACGCATAAAATCTTTTTATCACTTTAGCGTCAATGCTCCGTTCTATGTACAATAATAAAAAAATAAACAGCTTGCAAAATATAGTATGGTTGTATATTGCATAATATATTCCATCTTGAGCAATTTGTTCTTCACATAACTCCATCTAATCGAATATATTCAATTAGATGACACAAGACCGAATCAAAACCTTTGACCCAATTTCAAAAGAAGTTCGCCGTGACTACGATTCACTGTTTCTATATATTTTAGAATAAATTGGCATGAATGAATTCAATAAATTAATGAAATGAATAAAGTTATCAGAGTAATACGATCACAATATTAATTTGGCTATTCTGGCTGACGAAACAAAAAATGACATTGTTTCCATTTAGAAAATAACAAACCAACAACCATATTTCCATATAACGCATATTATACAAAGAATTTTGGATATAAAATACTGAAAGAGTTGAAACTATAAATGTAGCATGAAATGTAGCCGATGTTGAGCAAAAGAAAAAGAAAAAGAAATGACCCCAGCAAAAGCCAAGTGGAATCAAATGGTTGTTTTGAAACATGCATGCGTATTCAAGTCGCATATAAGTGGAATGCAGTTGAAGAGGAATTTGTCATTTGTGTAAATAATGCCATTTCAAAAATAGATGAAAAAATTGAATGGCAATGACAACATTCAAACTTTTGTCTCTGACTCATTTATTTTTTTGGAGAATTGTCTCAAATCTTTTGTATAGTTAAAATTCAATTGCTGGGAATTCAATGGACTGTAGTGCAGATGAGCCAAAAAAAAGAAATTACTTTTTAAATAACTGAATGAAAATACAATTGTTGCTATGGGTTTTCGTGCGTCATTCGGGCTGAATCTCAACGTCAGCCATAAAGTATGAGTGTATATTGCACAACATGGATATATATGATTGATTGTGGCTTTAAAAAACTATAAAATAGTACTTGCAGCGCTCAGACTTCGCCCGATTTGAAAAAATCATCAAAATGTAATGAGTTACGCGCGATGGTAGTTTCATGTTTTAACTCAAACTAAAAATGTGATCAACTTTGCGAGCATATACACATGTCATAAATTAATAAGCCCTGCAATGGAATGGTCGGGAATGTGATGACGAACACAAAAACACTACGACGTAGTATACGTATCCCGTTTTAAATAACCATCAAGTTAAAAATCGCTGCGATTGCTTTCTCACAAGTTCCTTGCCAAGGATTTGTACATTTTTATGTGAGATTTTATACGATTTTCACTTGTTGGAAATGGCCAAAGTCTCACATCATTTGCTGGAGCAATAGAGGTGGATAAAGTGAACAAAAAGTCACAAACTACGATAAAATACATTGTTCCAATGGTTGGACGGCAAAAAGTTTAAGAACAACTTTTAGTATAATATAAAATCGTCATTTTTATGTTTAATAGTGAATGGAATCCATTTGTATATAGACACATTATATGCAATGACAATGATTAAATCTCTGTTTAAGATGGTACGCATCGTAACGACTCACGAGGCACGCTTGGGTGAGCTGAGCCCACCCTAAAACTATTCGAGCTCACCCAAAAAAAATTGAAATATTTCTAAATTTTCGACAAGAACTTATTTGAAAAAAAAAAATTATGACAATTTGAAATTTACGCTGGTTCATATACGTTCGTAATGTAAATTTCGAAAGAAAAACAACATAATTGGTCAAAAATGTTGCTCGCTTCGATCGCACATGTCTTTTGGTACTTTTATCAAAATAGGAACATTTCATAGAATTTCCTTGTTCACAAAAATTAGTCGTTGCAGAGCACATCAAAGTTTTAAATCGCCACTGCAGCTCACCCAAAAATTGGTCGAGCTCACCTAAATGTTCACTGCTGGCTTCGGCCGTGATATTAGCTATGATTGTATTCCACAATGAGCGAAAATGGGCGGAAGATATGGTTTGAGTAAAACCTTGGTTTTTTCGTACATTTTACATGACTTAGTTTAATAAGTTCTCGACTTCGCGTATACCCCCTAAGATACCATAGTGTTCAAAAATGTGTTGCAATGGAATGGATATGGAATATGGATACGTACTTGGAATATATAGGTATTTAATATTGAATTGTCATCGAAATCAATTTTTGAATGCTATAAAGTAATGTTATGTATAACAATAATAGTGAAATCTTTTTAAAGTCATAATCAGATGAAAAATGTATCAGTATCAACAACGGCATCAATAGTAATTTGTCCGTAATTCGTTGAAACTAAATTTGGATGGAGTCAAAAAACGGTACCGTGCTTGTTCACGATGAACACTTTACAGATTTGTACTACACAATCTATAGCATCGTAACTATATCATGGCAAGATTTTTGCCATTTTCCATCCTTAATTCCTTAAACGCAACGATTCCATCTCGAAAAAGGTTCTTTCTCGCATTTCAAAATGCATTTTTCACATTCCCGCTTTTTTTTCTTTTTGGTTAGCATTTGTAAAACATTTAGTTAGTTCTCCGCGTACATAAAAGTGCCACGCTGGTTTGACTTGATCATATACAAAAAATTCTTTTATGGCAATGCCGTTTATTATCTGCCACAAAATAAAATGAAAAGGTCAAGACAAAAAAATGTGCTATCATTACTATTATGTTTTCAAATGATTTTTAGATGCTCAAATAAAGAAAATGGAATGAACAGAAAACATTTTTGTGCCGTATATGACGAAATAATGTTGAGCGATGGTAATGCGTTGAATGAAGGCATTTTCTGGATGTCGGTAATTTTTGTATGTAATAATTTCAGGTCATGGCAACGTTCAATGTCGAACATACGAATGATATGAAGTAGTAAAGAGAATTTGACGATGCTATTAAATCGATTGTAAAATTTTAATGAAAAATCCCTATTTCAATAGGGCATATTGCAAATAGCAGCAGCGGCAGCAGCGCCAACAACAACAACAACAATTAGGTCACTTGCATTCGTTCCCGATGATTTTTCGAATCCAAAAATAAATACCCAACATCGCACAATTTTTAATGAAGTGATTCAGTTAAATGGGGTTGAATGCAATATTGAGACGAACGGGGCCAAAAAGAAGGGAACATTTATATATCAATGACGTTCATTCGACTTGGCAAAAAAAAACATGTGTTCGACACTATTGGTATGCCATGTATGTGCGTATAACAATTTTCACTTGAAACCACGCATATATGAACAACTCGGCAGAGCACAATTTTAGCGATATATAAGCTCTTTGCGGCATTAAATTTTCATCTACTTTAAAGAATACGAACCAATGAAATTCCAATAAAACAAAATACGTATACCTTATTGTAAAATGCACACATAAACCGCAATAAGCAAATCGTAAACTTTTATTTATACCAAATTGCTTGGTAAGCTTTGGAAATGAACTTTCAAATCGGCTAATGACTCGACTCAAAATACCAAGTCGCCGCATCATTATTTATGATTTGTTTGGAATTTGGGTGCACTTTTCACTCGTACACATTTAACGACAGACCATGAAAATGGCAGTGAAGAGAGTGCTTTAGTTTTTTGTTTTTGTCTTTAAAACATGAAAACTTTTGTGCGAAAGAATTTTCGGTTGACTTGGAAAAAGAAAAACCAATGAAATCTCCATTTTGTTGCCAACTCGTGACTTTTGGTTCGTGTTTTTGTTGCCTGAAAGCAACGATGCAATTCAAATTGTTAGCACGAACAAATGCTTCAGCTAATGAATGAATGAATGTGCTTGCTGTTTCGATAGGATTTTGGTTAAACCCTTATTTCATCCATGCATAAAAGTTTATAAGCGAGTAACAGCTTTACATACAATAATCGGAGTTTTTCATGTTTAAATTGAAATTTATAGTTTGATTCGCTAGTTGGAGTAGACTCTGGATTCAAAGGGTAAAAGAGGTAAACCGACTCTGATACAGAATGTTGGGATTAATGCATTTGATGCTTGAAAGCGTGTTCAGCTGTATGCTTTTCTCTTTTACTCCCAAATATGTGTGTATGAAAGATTTTATGTTTACACGTGCGATCATAGAACCAAATGACATCATAAAAACCAACATACCAAATTTTGCCGAGCTAACTCGACATTTCCTTTGTTCATTTTAATTTTATTTTTATTTACTTCAAATTAAACTGACTTTACTATTTTGAAATGTTTCCTACATTTGAATTTTTCAGATTTGGTCGACCATTATTGAATTTTGCAGCTGCAGCCACTATTCTGATAATGATTGTTGGTATTTGTGGAAATTCGTTAACAGTGATAGCATTATTAAAATGTCCAAAAGTTCGAAATGTCGCAGCCGCATTTATTATTAGGTAAATAAATTTTGATTTGCGAAATGAATAGAGTTTTTTCAACCTTTTCTCACCACTTTTCACATTGATTGCAGTTTGTGCATAGCCGATTGTTTGTTTTGTGTCATTGTCCTGCCATTTAATGCGTACCGATTTATACAAGGGATATTTATACCAGATTCAGCTTTATGTCAAATAATTCCATTTTTACAATACGGCAATGTTGGCGTATCACTGCTGTGCATCGCTATGATTACAATAAACAGGTAAAACGAATGGAATAAAATGGAAAACCTTTAATCCAATAATGCAGGAAATTACTTTAATTCACGATAGGTATATTATGATCACACATCACAGCTCTTATGCTCGGATCTATAAAACTTCTTGGATTGCTGTTATGATTGTATTTTGTTGGATATTCGCTTATGGAATGCAATTGCCAACGCTATTCGGAGTGTGGGGTGAGTTTCATATCGATATATTCGAATCAATGTTTCGTTCATAAATGGTATTTTCATGTATTTTTTTGTTCGATTCGCTAGGTGTTTTCAAACGAGACGACAATCTTGGCACTTGTATGATAACTTTCAATGGTTCACTGGTTTATTTTATGCAGAGACTGTTTGTTTGAGCAATATATGTGAGGAGGAGCACTGAGGAGTAAAATATTACAATTATAAATTATCAATTTGAATCATTTTTTCTCTTCTCAATGCTCCTCTCCACATATCTCTCTGAGAAATAGTCTCTGCCTTTATGATGACTTTCAATGATGTATTTTTAACTATATTTGCAATGCTATAGGTTCAATTATGCCGGACGAACAGGGCCACAGTAGCAAAACAACGCTGTTTGTAACTGCATTTGTGATTCCATGCATTATAATCATCGGATGTTATACAAGAATTTTTTGGGTCGTTCATAAGTGAGTATCACTCATCTCCCAAAAGCAAATATATCCCTTGGTGCTGTACAACATTCAAAGTGGATGTTTTTTTTTCTGTTTACAAATCGAAAGGTCTGAACAACGGATGAGACAGCATGCCAGCAAGCAAAATGCTATTCCAAATAATTTACGTGTAATGTCGGCAGCAAAACCGATTGTCACCAAAGATACAAATAAACGTAGATCAAATATACAAACAGCACAAGCGACTATTCAAATACCCACCATATCAACGAGTACCAGCCAAATGGCGAGCGAACCGAATGCAATTTCAATGGAAAATGTTAGTGCAAATAGTCGAAGTGATTCCGGAGTGGCTGTTTCAAGCACAGAACAAAACACAATACCAAGAGGAAAATTTACAAATCCAAAACCAATTCGTGTAAGAGATGCACGAGATGCCAAAGTCAAACGCAACGAATGGAGAATTACAAAAATGGTGCTTGCCATATTTTTGTCGTTTGTAATGTGTTATTTGCCGATAACTGTAGCAAAAATTGCCGATAAAAATGTTTCGTATCCTGCGTTGCATATCATTGGATATATTTTATTGTATTTATCGTCATGCATCAATCCGATTATTTATGTGATTATGAACAAGCAATATCGACAAGCGTACAAAACGGTCATTCTCTGCAAACCAGGACGATTACTTGGATTTACACAAGCCGGAAGTTCGATGGGTGGTAAGTCTTATTTTTCGCATAGCACTCCATTTTTGATGATTTCAAAGATGCTTAGAAATGTCATTTCGTTTTAGAGAAATGGAAAGATGTCGCATTCAGTTACAACCACAGTCGTACCATGGTACAGTGAAATATCACACTATTAACACAAGCTTCATCACAATATTAATCATATATATTTTTTTTTCAACAAAAAAAGGTATCACAGGTTTCCCATCTAGAGGAGCAGCCGTCGTCTTATCAGACTCATCAACCGTATCGCCAAGGTATATTGCTATTTTCGATAAATGAATAACGATTGATGCGATATTTGATAATTAAATATTTTCATAATAATCGTCCTATAGATTCTCCCCATCCAAATCGCTTGTCCCACATTCGCGGTAACATGGATCCACAATAGTATTATTATATCAATCAACTATTTTTTTTTTTGAAAATGCTCGTAGTAAGCTCTTTATTAATACAAAAACTCGATAAAAAACCAAATATGTGCCAAATCAGAATTCATTAGCTTATAAAAATGTTCAAACATGCTAGTATCTAGTACCTATATTTATTAAATCAAATTTATTGAAGGTATGATATTAATTTAAAAAAAATCTCATAATAAAACGAACAGAATAAAAACAACCTATTTTCAATTATTGTTTCTATTGTATATGAAATGCCCATCAAAATTGAACCGCTTAGAATAAATCAGCATTACTAGATAAATGTCTTCAAATGCGCTATAGAATAATAGCAATAGTGTCAAAAACTGTATGTGACGCGTTATATAAAAAAGTTCGCCAACAAAAGCGTGACATCGTCCATATATTTTATAACGCTTTTGCTGACTGACTTTTTTCAGTAACGCATTTGAAGACATTTATCTAGTAATGTTGATTTATTCTAAGTGATTCAATTAAACTGAATATTGTAAAGGTAATACAATCTATAGAAGAATCTCTTAAAATAAATATGAAATAACAAACATGATAACATAATAATAATGAAAATTATGTGAATTTGAATCAAGTAAAAGTGTTTAGACAATTTCACTTTTGATTATGAGATTTGGCACCCAATCCTCACTTTCAGTGCGGACTTTTTTTGATTGCATTTGCATCAATTCATCGTATTTAGCTCTCAATTCAGCATGAGTTCTTTTTTCAATTGCCAACTCTTGTCTAATGACAATTAGATCATTTGTGAGCTTCTCAGTTTTTGCCTTTTCTTTCTTATATTCTTCTTCCAAAGCAGTTGTGTACTCCAGACACTCTTGAATATTTTTGCGAATTTTTTTGTTTATTGGGAGTTGGTTTGAATTTATTTCATTTGTAGAAATTGTCTCAACGTTTTCAATGTCATCATCCGAAGTGTCACTTTCCTCTTGCGGGGGCAACCGTCTGTAATGGGGATTTCGATAACCAGGAATCGTTTCGTCGTGATGAACTGTATCAAGTTTGTCTTTCTTTGGCTTTGTTTTGGGTGCAGCATATTTGTATTCTCCAAACCTTTTTTCAACATTTCGAATGTATTTTTCAGCTTCCTAAAATTATAAAGTAGTTATCATCACATGAAACATTTGAACGTTCTAGAATGAAAACAAAACGCGACTCAAAACGGTTGCATATCAAAGCGAGACAATATTTCGTTACCAAAGGAATAAAGAACATTAACTTTTTATTATACAAAATGTGTAAGTTTCGTTTTGTGCTGATAACTAGCTACTGTTCTGCCTTGTTTTAGTAACAGAATTTTGTTTCGCTTTGATATGCGACGCAGTTTAACGGTATAAATATTTCGCACTTTCGGAGGCTCGGTATAGAACACACAGAAAGTGGAAAAACTTCTTATTCTCAAATCTCATATACGAGGGCTGCTCCATATATTTATAGAATTGGCAATAGTTTAGTGTTGTCCGATACAAACCATTGTCATATTCGTTAAGTTTAACATTTGGTAGCATAAACGATCTCAGAACGTTCTGTCATACGCGCGCTATTTGTATTGTTTACAGTGACATCTAAATGGCGTCTCAACAAAAAAATGAATTTTACTCGTGAAAATTTTCGTGCGATAATTTACTACGACTTTGGATTGGGTGTATCTCAACAGTGTTTTGATCAACTTCATTTGGTCTTTGGCGATAAAGCTCCATGCAAGGCCACTGTATATCAATGGTTTACTGAATTCAATCGTGGTCGTCATTCGCTCATCGGCGAATTCCGTGAAGGTCGTCCAAAATCGGTTGTTGTTCCAGAAACTATCGATGCTGTCAGAAACATGATAAAGCAAGATCGTTATGTAACGATTTTGCATGAACATTTGGCCGTAAAAAAGATTTGCTCTCGTTGGATTCCACATAAATTGACCGATGACCAAAAATTAGCTCGTGTGAAATGGTGCAAAGAAATGCTCAACAAATATAACCGCGGTGCATCATATTCCGTCTATAACATCGTCACAGGCGACGAATCGTTGATATATGCGTATGAGCCCGAAACTAAACAGCAGTCGACAGTATGGGTCTTCCAAAGTGAAGATAATCCAACGAAAGTTGTTCGCGCTCGAAGTTTTGCGAGGCAAATGGTCGCCTGTTTTTTCGCAATTAGTGGACATGTGGCAACAGTTCCACTAGAGGATCGTAGAACAGTCAATTCTGACTGGTACACCACCATTTGTTTGCCAGAAGTGTTTGGTGAATTAAGAAAAAATAACCACCGTCGCAGAATAGTTCTTCTTCATGATAATGCGGGCTCTTACATATCTCATCACACAACTGAATATTTGACCGCTCAAAAGATCGAATTAATGGGTCATCCACCGTACAGTCCTGATTTAGCACCCAACGATTTCATTTTGTTTCCGAGCGTAAAGAAAAAACTGCGTGGTCAACGATTTTCGTCGCCAGAAGAAGCAGTTGATGCGTTCAAAACACACGTTTTGGAGATATCGGTTTCGGAGTGGCATGAATGCTACGGCAAGTGGTTCGAGCGTATGCAAAAGTGTATCGACCATCATGGCGAATACTTTGAAAAACAATAAACCCATTTTTGATAAAAAACGATTGCGTTATATATGCTTTTCTAGAAATATATGGATCAGCCTACGTACAATCAAATTTTTATTGCGCAGTTGTGTGTGTGAATAGAATGTCCGTTGTAAACATTCATACATACAAGGAGGAGCGAGATAGCATTGGACAACGATTTGGGTGACAAAGATGACAAATTTTTATGTTCTGATCACATCACATGATATAGACCATTTAGTGGTGTTCGAGAATTGAGAAAAAAAATCAGATTTTTTTTTCACTTTTTATGCTCTATACCGAGTCTCCGATAGTTTCATATAAACTCGCCGTGCAATAGCCAAATGATGCCTATTGATTCAATCACGATTGGTATTCGCTTACTATTCAATAGGCATCACATAGCAAGTTTATATGAAACTCTCGGAGACTCGGTATAGAGCACTCAAACAGTGAAAAAAAATCTGATTTTTTTCTCAATTCTCGAACACCACTAAATGGTCTATATCATGTGATGTGATCAGAACATAAAAATTTGTCCAGATCGTGATTTAGATGATATGGAATGCGATTTTTTTCATTCTGATTTCACCAGGTGATATAGAAAATTGAGTAGTATTTGAGAATTGAAGAAAAAAAAATTATTATTTTTTTCATTTTTCGCCAATTTTTGCCATCTATGTGGGAAGCTTGTATGAAAAACACGGAAGACCGCTGAAATGACGAATGCAAAATATGTGCAGACGTACGACAGTGCCATTTCAGCGGTCTTCCGTGTTTTTCATACAGGCATTCCCATATAGATGGTAAAAAATCGCAAAAAATGGAAAAAAATAATTAATTTTTTTTTCTTCAATTCTCAAATACTACTCAATTTTCTGTGTCACCTGGTTAACCCTCCTAGGTATAGTAACGGTCTATTAGACCGAAAACTTAGAAAAAATATCATAATATCGGAACGCGTCGACCGATTGCCATCAATTTTTTGCCTTTATGCGAGAATAATGAATAAATATTGAAAATAAAAGAGGTAATGTCAAATGCCTTTATAAAGTCCCTAACGCAGTTTCTTATACTCTTTTACTCACACACAAACAAAACAAAATGTCAAAAAACAGCTGTTCGACCGAACCATTCATAACCAACTTCATGCTACTAGTAGATTCGGAATGAAAATAATGTTTGAAAATTCTATGATATTTCGAAAAATGAACTAATTATTTTGGAATTTTTTAATCTGTTTAGAATAAAATAAATTTTTAAACATTTTTTGTACTAGCAATATTTTAATAAACATTCACTTATTATTTAATTTTCACAATTTCCATCAATTCACAAAATTTAATTCATAGCACTAGCATGAAGTTGGTTATATGTCAACCTTTATTCATTCGTATAAAAACATATTATGTTCACGCACACATAAATGTTGGGGAGTTTTGACAATTCCTCTTTAAAATCCTGCCACTGATCTGTAAAAAAAAATATCCCAGAACGACGATAATCCTAACTTGATCGTATAGTTACGGTCTATTAGACCGTCCATTCAAAATACAGGGAAAAACATACAAAAACAAAACAAAGTCACACTTTTTTTTAATTTTTGTATTTTTCTTTTTTTTAAACACTGAAAGAAGTTTGAATGTTAAAAATAGGAAGGATTTTAAGAAAATTATCAATTTGAATCATCAAAATAATTTTCATAGTAGCGTTTTTTTCGTTGAAAAAAAAAAAATACTTCGTTGAAAAAAATACTTTCTCATGTAAACAAGTATTGAAATACGCGTTCCCGATGGGACTTCTCGACTACTAGAACACTTTGGACCAGGTTTGAGTCCACCTAGTCCACAGGATTCGATTCTGGCAACAACATCTATTACTGTAGGAATCACCGATCGATTTTTCTAATTCTCTTCAAAATATCACTTAAAATTAAGTGAAGAGGATGCAGGGATGAGAATTATCAACTTCCAGAACACATTGGACCAAGTCGGATCTACCTATTCCATAGGATACACTTCCAGATCAATTCATCTCACATGATATTATTGATTTTTTCAGCTCTCACTGCGACAATGAGATTTCTTAATCTGGAAGTGCATCCTGTGGAATAGTTAGATCCGACCTGGTCCAATGTGTTCGGGAAGTTCAAAATTCTCATCCCTACATCATCTCTTCTTCATTTCAAGTGATATTCTACAGTAAATAGCTTTTTTAAGCGAGAATAAGAAAAATCGATCGGTGATTCGTACAGTAATAGATGTTGTAGCTAGAAGGGAATCCTGTGGATTAGGTGGACCCAAACCTGGTCCAAAGTGTTCTAGAAGTCGAGCACACCGGGGATAACATGGCTGGAATTTTTTTTTTTTGATTTTCCCATCGGAAACGCGAGAAAAATCGATCGGAAGTTTTTCCATTTCCATTCAGTATTTCAATACTTGTTTACATGAGAAAGTATTTTTTTTAACGAAATATTTTTTTTCAACGAAAAAAAAAACGTTTTCATGTAAATGATTACGATGATTCAAATTGATAATTTTCTTAAGATCTTTCCTATTTTTAACTTTTAACCTTCTTTCAGTGTTTTCAAAAAAGAAAAATACAAAAATTTGAAAAAAAGTGTGACTTTGTTTTGTCTTTTTTATGGTTTTCCTGTATTTTGTATGGACGGTCTAATAGACCGTAACTATCCTATATTGTTTTTATTTCGAACTATACCTAGGAGGGTTAAATCAGGATGAAAAAATCCGCATTCCTTATCATCCCAATAACTATTGGCATTCGCATATTATTTAATGGGTGTTATTTGCCTGCTAAATGGCAACCTTATATGAAACTCCCGGAGACTCGGTATAGAGCAAAGAAAGTGATTTTTTTTTCAATTCTTATGCACAACTAAATGGCCAATACTATCTGGTGCGACTGATTGTAAAAATTTGCTATTTCTGTCACCCAAATCGTTGTTCAATGCTATCTCGCTCACTCTTACATGTAATTTCTCAATGCATGGCATTGTGTTTACAAACAACGTTCTACTGACACACAACTGTGCAATAAAAATTTCTGATACAAGCCATTTGATTGTATATGAAATTTGAGAATAAGAAGTTTTTTTTCACTTTTTGTGTGTTCTATTCCGAGCCTTCGAGAGTGTGAAATATTTATACCGTTAAACTGCGTCGCATATCAAAGCGAAACAAAATTCTGTTACTAAAACAAGGCAGAACAGTAGCTAGTTATCAGCACTAAACGAAACTTACACATTTTGTATAATAAAAAGTTAATGTTCTTTATTCCTTTGGTAACGAAATATTGTCTCGCTTTGATATGCAACCGTTTTGAGTCGCGTTTCGATATGCGAGTAAACAATAAGTTGTTTTTATTCTAGAGCGTTCATTTCAAGAAACGTTGTAATATTTTATTACCTTCATTGCAAGTTTGACCTGATTTTTATATGTATCGGTCAAATAAAGGTTTGGATCCTCTCTCGAATACAAATAGCAATTTGAATACGAAACATTTCCAATTGTTCTCTCTTGGAAGAAAAATACCAACAGCGGATCTCTCTCAACTTTCTTTTCTATTCGCAATAGTTTTGCGGGCCAATAAGGATACTCACTGAGAATATATTTTTAAAAATATTATATTTTATATAATAAATAATTAATTCATAATAATGTTAACAAAACATACCCATACTTGACCTAATAAAAAAAAATTATACAATAAATAAATAATTTATAATAATGTTAACAAATAACAAATATACATACCCATAATACAATGTGAGGTTTAGAGCAGACCTAAGAAGCGTAAGAGAAAATAATGAAAACAATAACAAAAATAATAAAAATAAATATTTTCATCATACTAAATTTGGATTATCCCGACTATCATCAATGTGCGTGTAACAGTCGCCACAGTTCTTGAGAATATCTATATCTTCTTCGCATTTTTTTAAAAATTCCGTCACTTTGCCACAAATCAGCTGTTTGTCTTTAGTGTTTCTTATGGCTAAAAAATGAAAATAATTAAAAGGACTATACATAATTCGTCATAGAACCATTACATTTGTGGTGAATTTCGCAGCTGTGTCGCATCCATCTAACGTCTAGTAAAAATTCATGTAGTGTTTTATATTCCATACGTTCGATTTTTCCCACTAGGTCTGTAAAGGTAACTGGATTTACCAATGATTCGTTTTTTCGGTAGTCATCCGTCATCATGAAATCCATAGCTAATTCAAGTTCTGTAACCGTCCGAGTTGCATGTTCAATCAATTGTTTTAGCAAATCGGTTAAAGTGTTTTCACCGAAATTTCTGTTGAAAATATCGAGAGCAACTATTGAATTATTCATTAATTTATGTTAGTGTTAACACTGTTAACAAAACATACGCTGTTTCCGGTTTGGCAGCCGATTGACATTCCTTACACCTCCGAACGGATCCTTTTCGTTTCCGTTCTGGTATACAATTTACATTTCGGTGGAATGATATGAGACATTTCGAGCATTTTACCTCATAGCCACTTAAACCGTGACATTTCCAACAGAATTGATCCCAGTTACGATTCTACATATGAAAATACAAAAAGAATAGCACTTATTTTTAATGTAAACAATGAACGAATTTGATTATCACATACAATTATACGATAAATAGTTCAGTGAAGCCACTTATCGGATGGCTATGAGTCTTATTTTTTGGTACGATGTTCATATGTATAATAAAAATAATTTTTCTTTTAAGAAAATGTTAAAATATACCTTTAAATCGAGCAAATCAGTTCCTTTGAGTGATTCATTTGTATCCAGCGATGTTTCAGAGTCCATTCTTGGTATAGATTTCTTTTGTTGGGCATATTTTTTATGCGATAGCGGTACGCTGTCTTCGTCACTTGAATACATGTTTTGTTTAAGCGCAAACATTTTTCTAGGTTAAAAACACTGAAAAAGATGCCTTCTTTTTAATTAATTGTTCATCAATAATGTTCATTGATAGTCAACACTTCATAAAAAAGATGAAAAAATATAAAGGTCCATTTGGATAGTCAATAATTTGGAAAAGAAATGAAGATTCGCCGTATATTGCAAAAACTACTATAATCGAATATATTCAGTTTTTTTAGCTTTGATTTAAAAATAGAGAGTAGTAATAAATTATTCCTACACAAAAAAAATAACTCCAGTTGCTTAGTTATTAAAATAGGCACTTTTTTGTTCTTTTTATATTTTACAGATCAAAAATATATTATTATTTTTTTTCGTTTATACTTTCTACTTTCTGTCCCGTCTAAGAATGTCAAACACAACTCGTAAACTTAAAAAAAACGACTGTCGACAAAATCATCTGCATGTGAAAGTTCACGCATCTGTATTGGTATGTACGTTATATATGTGTTATACACTGACAAAACTAAGGTTATGATTTTGACAACACCGTGTTGTAAATGCTTACATTCCAACAAATGTTGTGAAGTATGCCATTGTATGTATTCACAATGACAACAATTGTTGGCTACTTCACAACATTCGTTGGAATATAAGCATTTACAACACGTTGTTGTCAAAATCATAACCTTAGTTTTGTCAGTGTACGCATGCCGTTGTAGTGTTTCTCATATTTATCATTTACGTGTTGGATATACATACTAGTCGAGTCGTTCGCGCCATTTATACACGCACATTGTTGATTTGAAAGATACAAACAATTTCGTATAGTATACTGTATAACGCTTTTTATTTTCTTAATTTGAATATCGAAGACACAGTCGATTAAATTTGATCGATTTATTTAATTTCTTCTATTTTTCTTTTCAAATTTGACAAAGTTTCAATCCATGTTTATTTATTATAATTCAATTAATGAGAGTAGTTCTATTTTTCTGTATGTTTTTGATAAAAAACAAACTGAGATGTAATATTGTATTACTATTATTTGATGATTCAAAATGAAAATTATAAAGTTGCTAAACATTTCAATGAGAAGTTTTGTAAAAGTACTATGGGATTTTTGGTTTACATTTGCCACAAGCAATATTTTCCCGCTTTAGCGCCAATTCAGCTTTCAACAATGCATTTTCCTTTAGAATTTTTTCATTTGTTGCTTTTTGCGAATTATATTCCGCTTCCAATGCACTTATGTATTCACCTAATTCAACCAATTTATCTCGTATAGATGGTTTGTTTTGTAAACTTGAACCGATGAAGGAGGGGTTCTTGACACCTTTCGCTGAATCAACATCAATATGGCCTCCATTCACGCCATCAATTTGACTGGTGTTTTGCATTTGATGGGCTGGATTTCGAAAACCGGGAATCATATCATCCAGATGCAGTGTGTTCAACTTTGCTAGACTTGGTTTAGTGAATTTTGGGGCAAATCGAATTGTTCCAAATTTTGTTTCAATATTTTTGGCATACTCTTCGGTCTCCTAGACGAAATGAAAAAGAATGCCGTAAGATCTATGCATATTTCATGAATAGAAATCTATCCATGTACTTACTTTAACAGCTACTTGAACATCTGCTTTAAATCGACTAGTACAGTATACGTTTGGGTCCTCTTTTGAAAATAGGAAGCAATCATTTGGCAAAACACAGGCTGTATTGTGATCTTTGAAAAAATACACTTCAAGACGACCTTTATTGACTTTCAACAATTTCGCTGGCCAGTATGGATATGATTCAAACTTAACCCTTTTTGTTTATATAAAATAGTTATTAAAGTTAAGAAACTTTACCCAAAAATAATATGTTTTCTTATTTACCATAAAATAAGATGAGGCTGGGAACAAATTTGCGTAAAGGCGTTCTCGTCCTCGCGTCTGATATAACAATCACCACACAACATGAACTCCTTCACCTGCAATTTAAACGTTTTGTTGAAATTACGTCAAATGGAAAGAAATAAATTAACTTTTATTTTTTACCTCTTCAATACAATTCTGGTGCAATTTTTTGGCTATTTCGCGAGTTTCAGCCAACTGTTTCTTATCTTCGTCCGCCTTGTTACCTTAAAACGGCATTAAAATTTCAAATTTGTCGATCAATTTCAAAGATGTTCTTACATTTTTTTAGAATTGTGCAGCAGTGCAGCAGTAATTTGAAATCAAAAATGAATTCATGGGTGTTTGAATACGTTTTGTTATTGGCCTTTTCAACTATGTCTTCGAACGTCAATGCACGTTTCAAAAGCTTGCTGTCGACGTATCCTTTCGGTACAATGAATGTGCCAGTCTGTGTAAAAAAAAGCAAATAATTACAAAATATTTTTTTTTCGAATAGTTTGAAATGATTAATAAAAAATCATTTTATTCACACGTAGACCAATCCGTTCAACTGCACATTTAAGCAATTCATCCAAATCATTGTCATTCAAACTCCTGCAATGAAATCAAAGTCAATTTATTTTCGGTAAAAACATTTCATTTAGGTGAACATACGTTTCGACAGGCTTTTCTCCACACCGACATTCTGGGCATGTCCAATTGGCCTTATTTCGATCTGTTTCGGGCATGCAATTCATATGAAATGACAAAACACATTTGGAACATTTGACCTCGTAATTGCTTGCAGTTTTGCAATGCCAGCAAAATTCGTCCCACTGCGAAAATTTCATTACGTCCGATTTTTATTGTGTGATTTTAAACATAGATTTAATGTTACCTTTGTGTTCTCTATTTGCGATGTTGCAGTTTCGGGGCAATCATAATATTTATTTGGAGCTGAAACACGCTTGGTTTTCTTGATATTATTCTTTCTTTTCGACAACGGTGTATCGTCATCAGAATCATCGTACAAAAAACTGCGTTTTCGCGAATCCATTTTCCCCGCTTTCTTCTCTCTATGGGAAGTGAAGTAGAGTCAATACCTGCAAATGAATAAATCAAATAAAAATGTCAATGTAAATCGCACATTGATGAATTCATTAATTTTGAAATGTCAACTTTTGAGAAAATTGTACTGTACAATTATCCAACATGGCTGTTTATTCATGAATAAATGAACAGAAACACAAACCTCTTATCTGATCGATTGACGGTCTACACTTTTATATAAACATATATGATCATTCGTTGGCTTGTGTGCAAAATCTAACTGTTTAGAAGTTTTATTAAAAAATAATTTTATTCGCCAATTTTTCAATTATTCGTGAACAAAAAATGTAATTGGTTCCAAGAATCGATGTTGTAAATGACGCTGCATCGGCTAGCTGTGGATCAGAAATGCCAAGTGCAAATGTTTTCTGAACTGACCACCAGTAGCGCTGATTTAAATAGATTTCGAAATGGCAATTCAACTGGAGATTAAATATCAGAAACATCTATATTTGTTACTTTGAAATAACTATGCTGATTTTCAAATTAAAAATCAGAGAATAATCAATTTATTTAGAAACCATAGAAACAAATATGCTTAATTCTGGTTGATATAATTCATTGATCAATCATCAACCACATTCGTAAGATTTTTTGCATCATCAGCATCGGTGTGTCAACGTTTATCAGTTCTTGGTGTTTGTATGTTTCAATGAATTCGTCTTTTCTAAATTGAAATAATTCACAGGGTTTTTGTAATTTTTCGCTTATTATTTTCTTTAATAAAAAATAAGAGCACACATGTTCTTCTTATGATATATGTTTTACATACAATGTACTATATCATTTTTACATGTTATTTTATTTATTGTATTATTTTTCTTAAATAGAAAATAGCGCATACAAATATTTGATACAACAAAACCATTAACCATTGTATTCAAATAATTTGCTAAATTAATAATGCAATGAATGGTGCATAAGTACAGAATAATGGACTGTTCAAAGGTGCGTGTCATCAGCGCCACCCTGGAATTGTGCTGGCAAACCCAT